TGATCTTATATTGTACTGATTGTATGCTCCACATTATCCATGTAATCCATTTTTCCGCAAATCCCATTTTCCTGAGGATGTTTTCAATGAATGGATATTCTACACGATCATATGCTTTGCTCATGTTAGTTTTCACCGCTATATATTTACCTTTACAGAAGTTATTAGTCCGCAGACCATGAAACATCTCTTGGGCTATTAGTATATTATCCGAGATGAGTCGCCCAGCTACAAAAGCCGACTGAGTTTCAGAGACAAGTCTATGAATTAAACCTCGTAACCATTAACACAAACACTTCGAAATTATTTTATATCCTATGTTGCATAAACTTATTGGTTTGAGTTCTGTCATTTGGGTTGGTCTTTCAGTTTTTGGTATTAGACAAATATTTGTCATATTTAGTCTTTTGTTAAAAACACCCGAGGTAAGGAAATTCGTTCATCATGTGTATCACCTCGTGCTTAATTATAGACCATGACTGTTGGTAAAAAAATATCGTCATTCCATCGGTCCCCGGTGCCTTTTCAGGATGCATCATGAATAATACCTCTTGAACTTCTTCCTCTGTTACCAGCCTTGTCAGGATATCATTATCCATTTCGGAAACCTCCGCTCTGATCTCTTCCATTGCCTCATCAAACTGGATAGGTGTCGTAGAGGTAAATAGCTCATCAAAATAATTAACTGCAACCTTTTTCATGTTCTTTTCACCCACCACCAAAATTCCATCATTATTATAACTAACCTATTTATTGTCCGTCGTTGTCTAGTTGTTGCATGGTAGAACTTGGAATTTAGATCCCCATCTCGGTGCCACAAGTTTTAACTTTTTTATTGCTTGTACTTTTTTATTGCTTGTACTGCACCTCATCCTTATATGCCTCCTTTAATTTCCGGTTTATGTCAGCCAGTTCCTTTTGTGATCGTGAATCATCACATTGAACTACCTCTAGCGCCTGTTGTAGGTCATGTATCTTATCTTTCCCGTATGGTCTATTCTCTTTACGCCATTTTGATATTTCATGCCAACAATTAGCTATTCTGTCTACCATATTAGTGTCTACCCTGTTATCCATTTGTCACCACCCACATACAATTGACTCCATAAAGCGCTCTTTACTAATCCAGCGTTTGTCGAACTTGAATTGGTATCGCCATTTATATTTTTTTGCCTGTATTGTGGCCACAATAGATCGGTGATCAGATCCCACTATACGTAGATACTCCACAAATGATTGTGGGAATAAGTCATGCCAGTTTTTCGTATCTAATGCTCTATCTAGTCTACATCGGACCGTTTTACTACTTCTCCGTCCACGCCATGATAATTTATTTTATTTATTTGGGAAATCAATTAAGCCACAATTATCTATAAGCACATTAAAATCCACAAAAGTAGATGAATGTCGTAATTTTCCACCACCTTGTTTTTCATGATTCCCCGTTATCTCATTAAAATCTCCTATTAAAAACCATGGTTCTAACTTATTAATTCCCGTTCTTGTGATCCGTTCCCAGACTTGATTCCTGAACTTTTTAACTGGGTTACCGTAAATAAAAGATAAGCAAATTATACTCCCTTCATAGACAGCTTCAATATCAATCATTCATTTATTAGCAAATATAACTTTGACATCAAATATATTAAAAAAAATAAGACTAGACCGCCACTCGATCCGCACGATTCAATTGTGTACAGTTTATTATAACCGAAATGAAATTGAAATTGCTGAACAAAAGAATAACAATTTTTGGTTTCCGAAAGAAAAAATAACTCTGATTTAAATTTCTTCCAAACATTAAGAGTTACCCAAACGCTGACAGTTCCAACTAAGTATTCGCATAAATTTTCTGTCATATTTATTTAAATCAAATTGTTTAAATTATATACAAAAAACCTAAATAATAACTACAGATTTTTGAAACGTTAAATGCAATTAAAAAATAAATAATTATAGAAGTTTTTGTTTGGCTGCAAGATTAAAGTATTTAAGTTTTTAACCATTTTAAAATTTAAAAATTCAAAATTCTAAGATAATGACACATTAACAACTAATGCTTCCTGTTTAATATATATGTTAGATTATACTGTTCAATTAAAAAAAAGTCCATTAAAGATCACCATTCAGATTCCTGGAAATAAAAACTATTTAAACTATTACAAAACATGAAAATTTGAAGGAAACGTAAAATATCAATTCTCTTTCACAATGTAAAAATAACTCGGTCACCCGTTTTTTCCACTAATTAAATTACTATATATTAAAGTATATATTAAAGTATAATCTAACTATATATTAAAATACAAACATTACAAACTAATTAAGCACCACATATTTCAGTATTTATTTATTTAATCATTTTTACTACTATTTTCATAGCCAAATATTTTTTTAATCCAAACACTATTTTAGACAACAACTAATTATTTTGCTATTCAATATCAATAATTAATAGATATATATATTATTTTATATATGATAGTATATGATATATTTTCAATTGTAATCTAATTATATATTAATGTAGAAATATTTGCTGATATATCAGCATTACATTTGCTTTTCAATATTTACTTATTTAATTAGTTGCTTTTACTACTATTTTTATAATCAATCCCTTTTATACCCAAATACTATTTTAAGCAACAACTGATTATTTTGTTATTCAATATCAGTAATTTAAAAAGAAAATAAATATATAGTATTTTTACATACAATATTATATTATATTTCTTAACTGTAAATCAAATTTTTTATAAATATAACATGATTAGTAACTATCATTATTGACAAATGTTATAAAATTTTAGTAACATACCTCAATCTATTTAAAGCATACACATAAATTTGAAAAAAACATAAGAAATGTATATGTTTTAAGTAGATTGAGATATTCTCTATATTTTAATTTTCACGTTTTAAAATTGAACTGAAACGTGTGTTTTAAAGTTGAATTGACTAACATCCGTTTCCATAATTGCCTTAAGAATAAATAAACTCATATTAAGTTATTTTCTTTACATAAGTACAAAGGAGACCCAAAAACTCATTCATCAATAAGCAAGCATACAATCACTAAAAAAAGGATAAAGAAAGCAAAAAAAAAACAAAATGGAGAAAGTAACAACCATTTTCGTCGTCCTTTTCCTGATCTCGTCATGTAAGTCCTCCAAAATCGTCTCATTTTTTCTACTTAGTCAGTTTAGTTTGACTTGAATTTGGTTATGGTTTACATCTTATACTTGTACACAGGTATGATAATGAGGAGTGAAGGTCAGTTTCGTTGTGAGAAAGCCAGTGACTGTGATCCGCGTGGTTGCAGACTAGATACACATGTAATATGTAATGAAAGGCACAAGTGTACGTGTGCTCATGGCGCTCCTCTTGGCGGTGAATGTGACACAGTCACTGACTGTTATCTTTCTGGGTGTCCACCATTTACATCTGTTCGCTGCATTGGACACGTTTGCGGATGTTATTCCTAATGGTTAGATTAATGGGTTGTTTCATAAACATTTCATTTTTGTATGAAGTTAACATTAAACCTAAAAAACTTATTATATCTTTTTATAACGTCTGAACTTCATTAAGATATAAAGAGGATAAAAAAAAGAAGGAAATCAGTTTCAAGTTTTGATTACATGATCCGCACAACATAAAAAACTTTGTAAGACACAAATTAAACAGTTAAATGTACATAAACTCTTTTCAATATACATAGAGAATGAGTAAGAACGAAATTAACTATAAAGATATAAATAAATTCTATTACGTAAATATATATAAAGCGATTAACAATAAAAGTAAAAATAATTTAAGATCTAAAAATAGTCACGATCCCTTAACAACTAATCAAGACGCATGCATTCTGCATTAGACAAAAAATACCAATTTCAAGAACTCCATCCTCACTTCCTATTGAATCGCTCTTTTTGAACAAGTCAATTGCTTGTTTTGATCATATTAAAAAAAATAAAAATCGTTTGTTTCAATTGCTTTTTAAATTAAAAATAGAATTAGCGTTCTCCCTTATATATATAGGAAACAATCATAGAACATTTTCTCCAGAAAAATAATTGTTGTAACAAAACTTTGTTCTCCTTTTCATTTTTCACCAGCTACTACTAACTAATTAAATCTGACATGAGGATCATTCAATTGATGTACATCGCCTTCGTTATACTCTTGGTACCATTTCTAGCTCCGATCAAAGCTCAAGATATCGTTGGTTGCCATACTGAGCTTGATAAATGCATCAGCGCAATGAATGAATATCGATGGGGGTTCGTGTGGGAAAACTGTTGTGCAAAACTGAAAAAGAAAGGCCCACAACCATGCATGTGTTTGTTTTTTAAGTACCCTGAGCTTAAAAAACCTGCTATAAGGCTTATCAATTATTGTTCTGCTCCAATTCCCAAGTGTTAACAAATTATATAAAAGAAAATAACAACAATATTTTGATCCATAAAATACTGATTGATTTTGCTTCCATGTTTTTTATCATCTTTTTTTAAGTGAATCAACTTGCTAACACATTTTGTAACACCTAAACATATTTTGATATGGTTTGAAGTTTGTAGTAGTCATGATGTCGCCATGTTATAATCCGTATATAGTCAAATAAAGATTTTTTGTTTTTGTTTTTTCGTAAATCGTATTTCATGACATCCCTATTTGCAGCTTTTTCCTCCATTTGGCATGTGATGGCTCGAACATCGTTTAGACTTCGGTTTGTAAATGAGTTGGGGACACGATCGATATTAGTTAGTTTCCAAAAATCAATCAAAATTCACAGTAGATCCAAATACCACGTGGAGGATTAAATTTAGAAAGGAAGAGATAGCGAAACTCGTATTCGTAAAACCTCACTTCTACCAATTTGTTCAAAGGAGACTCACTTTTCTTGTTCAACACTCGATCACTGTTTCCTTGAGCTGCAAGCAACGTTGTATTGGTGGTAGTTCGCTGCATATCCATTCAACTGATGACGCTTCATCCTATGCGAAATCTTGCAGACGTTTATGCAAGAACCGTGGAATCACGATCTTTTTCCTCCCCGACATCACATACATATAAAAGCTTCTAAATACTCTGTTTATGCTTTGATTAGTTCGTTCACCACATCTTCTGCTGTACCATGTATACAAAGATTCTTTGTTAATTACTAAATTTGAAGCAATACTAATCAAATCGCATGAAGAAAAAAGAGTGAACTTACTGCAGGCGAGGACCAATCTCCACGACAAAGCACGAATGAGCATTAGATTCGATCCTACGCATCTGAATTCCGTACCGTTTATGTAATCTTGCTTCGCTTTCAACAGTTGAAACCTTTTTTGATTCGGATGAAAAAAAGAGTGAATTTTGTTTTCAATGAAAGTACCTGTAAAGATTCTCTAATCTAAGCTTTTAGGTTCATTTACTTTGATTTTCTCTAGGATCATAGTTCATAGCATATGTAACAAATTGTTTGGCTTGGTTTTTTTGGTACTGAACTAGACATTAATCTGATCTCGAACCAGTCCATCCATACAGCAGTGTAGTGAATATTTTAGACCATATCATGAATAACCTGAGCATTGACCTAAGAAACTAGCAATGTAAACATTTCTACAACTCAGCGGAAAGAGAAGAAGAAGAAGAAGACTTTTATAAAAGCCGTAAATTAGGTAAGACTACATGACTTGTTTTTGTCTATGTGAAAAGATAAGCTCATGCAAAAGCTCTCACAAATACTCTAACATGTTCTTTGGTGGATTGATCCATAGGCTTTGAGGAGGACAAAGTTCAGACCAGTCCTCCGATTTCTTAGGCGGAATGTACCTGTTTTCATCAAACGAGTATGAGACACAACGCTTGCAGTTATTACCAAACCTTGAGAAAAAGACATTGTTCCTCATCCATGGGAGTTCACTTCTCAACTCAGAGTTATGAAAACTGACAAAGATCGTCATGCCATCAAGCTCAGTACCAGTCACCTCTCGCCATCTCAAATAGACAAGTTTGTACACGATCGGCTTCTCGTTTCTTGTAAAAACGAGAAAGAGCTCTCTTTTCATCTCTGCCATGAAAACTGCTCTCGTGCACTCAGTCCACCACCGATAAGGATAGATATATGCAGTAGGATGACGATCGTTAAAGCAATAGAATCGATCATTGAGAGAAAAAAACAAGAGAAGAGAGAGAAAATAAAATTCTTTCGAAAAGTTGTTCCTATGGATCATAAATAGTTTCCCGAAAAGTTGTTTGGCTTGGTTTTTATCACTCATCAGAAAGACACAGTTTTTTTTTTACATTTTTCTACTTTTTCATATTTGAGTTTTTTTTTCCTTCTATTTCATCCTTCTACGTAAATAAAACATCAATATAGACCAGTGTTATTTGGACATGAATGCAAGAAAGATTCCCAGCCGGTTGAAGCAAAACAGATCAAACACAAACTTTTAAACTCAATCATTACAAAAAACCAATGGGATAATACATTAGTTTTTGCTTTGAAATAGCGTGCAACAACTAAAGGCCATGTAAATAAAAAAACCTGACAGTCAGAAAATAAGAAAACCTAAACTAAAAGAACTATAAAACGCATAGAACACAATACGCCCATTGCTTTTGCCTATGCCTTCACAGATGAAGTAGAGATGCTTGACTTGTGTTGCTTTGTATCGTTAAGATTAAAATCCTCTCTACATAATCTACAAAGGTGTGAACTTTACGTATTTACCATGACTCTCAAGCGCTTCACGGTCAGCTCCAAAACTTTGGATTTCAACACTCCAGAGTGTGTTCTGTTCCCGATTGAAGAAGAAAACATAAAATGGTTTACATGTATAGTCCATCGACAAAATGATTTCATCTGTAACAGTCACTCCAAAAACCGAAAAATTGCATGGATCAACGATTTTACTCTCCCACAAAGTATAGACATGTTTCGACTATTCTTGTTTCTCGACATCTTCAAGAAACTTAGTAGTGATAGTATACTTCCAATTGACCCCAAACTAATTTACCCTTATAGTTTATCAACTTGATAGTAATAGTATCTTCGTTCTCACATAAGCATTCCGCATTGATAAACTCCTTGAATTCCTCAGATTTAAGAAACAAGAAGAATAAAAATGAACCAGGAGGCTAAATTAATTGTTAATAAACTATTACAAATAATTCTAATTTCTTACAATTTGTTTTATTAGGAAAGTCAAAGTTAGGTTATGAAAAATGGTATTAATTTCTTCTTATATTACTCTAAAAATTTAATTTTCTAGTTTGTTGAATTAAGTTAGTATTGTTTTCTTTAATCTATCTTATGACTCGTAACTTTATGTTATATATGTTTGTTTGACATTACAAAAAAAATTAATTTTTCACAATTGGCTTGAATTGAAGGTTAAGGCTATGATGTTATGAGCTGTATTATTTCCTTCGAAAGATTTCTTGTTTTTTTTTCCATCCCAATATGATTTTGTTATAAACAAATTTTTTTAACTATAACTTTGACTAAAACGACATCATATATTACATGTCATCCGAATCGGCTGACGGCAAAACTAATATTGTTATGTCTAAGTAAGAACTGGCCAATTTTAATAAGTTTACATAAAGATTGAAGTTTGAACAAGTTTATTTATTCATGTATGTAGTAATCGGCATTTTTCATATTATTGATGTATAAACTGGTCTTTTTCAGTCTCTCATCATCGTCTTCCTTCCTAGTTACCGAGTGCTTGACACTAGTTTTGGAGTTGAGACTTGGGTGTTGTGAGGAAACTCCCACAAACAAAAGTAGTCATAAGAGCATCTGCAATGCAGAGCTTTTTTAAAGTTTTAAGGGAAAAAAAGAAAAAAGTTTTTTTTAATGACGTGACGAGACTAAAGCACAGAGGCATCTTTCTGCGCAGGGGTTGGAGGAGCGACTGTTTGCTGACGTGGCACGACGTGATTCGTCGATTTTTTTTTTATAAAAAAAATTAATAATAAAATAGAGCTTTTTGTCTGCCTCTGTATTGCTGATGCTCTAAATGCATATACTCTCAGAGTTTCATTTTAAGTACTAGATTACTATGGCACATGACAAATTTTAATTTATAATTTATATATAATAGTAATATAAAATTATACTATATATCTATTTTGGCTAATTTATAAATTAAATAAATTTATATCTATTCTGGTTAATTTATAAATTGACTAAATTTATATGCCTTTTTAAAATTGTTGGATATTAGATATTTATTATTAATCATATTTTGTGTTTAAGTGGGAGTTTTAGTAATGATTTGGCTCCATACATGTATTTTTAAAAATAATTATATATATTTGAATAATTATTTCAGTTCAGCAGATTAAAAAAATTGAATGTGTACGAAATATCCAATTTTTTGTTAGGAAATTTGACAGTTAAAATTATTAAAAAAAATTAAGTCAAAGTTAAAAAAAATTAAAATTTATGAAATTTCTTAAATTTAGTCAAAGTACCAGAAATTATGGTCCTAAAATTTTAATCCTTACCAGTTCCCTACTTTTCCTCCTGATTTGAAAGATAAATAGGCTTATATTTTGTAAAATTTTGTTTAATAAATAATATATAATGTTTATATAATTATTATTTGTAACGATGATATTTAGAATATAATGAATGATTTTTTAAAAAAAATAAAGAAAATGAAAATATTGTATCTTGAAATTATTCACTCATAAATAATCACATAATGTTGTATGAATTTATGGCGATCAAACATAAATTTTAACTTATAATTTTAGATGTCTTTTTAATTTAGTTTATTCATGTTAATTTTATTTTTTTCTGTTTGGTTTACGTGATAAAATTAAAACCACTTAAATATAATCTTTTAAGTACCTAAAATAAATTAAAATTAAAATAAAATTAAAACAAATATATTTTAAACTTTTATCAAATAAAATGAAATGACCGTCTTTAACTATATCTTAAAATTTTATCAAATAAATAAAATTTTGATACATGGTCAACTTTGTGACCGATCTCAATATCTCATATATTATTATTGGAAAATAACCTATTATAATGGTAACAACACAAAAACACATCAGTCGAATAACCTTAATCCACCAAAGCAAATAAAGAGACCAACATGTATCAAAATTTGTTACAAAATGTATATATAATTATTAATTAAAGTAAACCAGTTTGTCTACACTGATACTACAAAGAACATCAACAATGAAACATACAAATCAAGTTGATATACATAACAAAAACAGAACTGAATAAGACTACGAAAGATTAGAAAATAAAGATACATAATATCGAACGGGCTGTCAAACATTCCAACATGAATTTTTCCTTGCACAAACTTTAGAAGCTTCATGAAGACTTAGTCGTAGCCTTTGGAGGTTGTGAGTTGTCAAAGTTTCATATCTTCCTCAACTGATTTGCTCTAGTTGTCAGTCGGTTAGTCTCGATATTGTTGTCTGTTTGTCTTTAACATGACTTTCTGTGAAGATCAAATTTTTTTTAGTTAATTCCACCCTCTTCTAAAGAGGACACTAACAAAGTAAAAATGAAACCTAAGATAAAACAATACGACTGAAAACAATAATTTTTGTAAACAAAAAAAAACACAGCTAGAAACTATGTGATTTACTGTGATTTCATTAAGTGATTTCCTTGCATAACCACATATAACCTTTAACAAAAAGAAGCACATATAAGAAAACATAATCCTTCTGATCATTGATCAAAATAAAATAAACAATCTATTGAAATTAGAAAAAGTTAAGATGCATCAAACGATTTATGTATGTGGCCGATTTATAAAGACAATATATACATGCAAAAAACAAATGGATGTAGCAAATAAATTAAAAAATGACGATCTGTAATGTTTGACAAACATTTAGATCTCAAAGAAACTTACTGAGATGTATATATTTACATACAAAAGAATTGTGTGGCCGTTATATGAGAAAAATATGAAGAAGCCTAATGTATTGTTTTCTCTAATCCCAACCCAATGAACTTTTAATTGCCACTACACGTCTATTTATACATTTATCATTCCGAAAAAATCTGCAAGGAAATCCATTTTGGATAAATAGTTATTCTTATTCCTATATTAACGGAATATAATACTATCTTTCTCAATAAAGACGAAAGTTCAACAATAGTATATGTTTTAAGTAGATACATGCATAATCAAATATTTAGCAATTATTTTCATTACAGAATATTTGTACATTCTGTATTTTGTGAAAATATGCTTACACAACATTTTTAAAATGATTTGTTACTGGTTAAAAAACCTTTCTTTCTTTTTGTTTAATATTCAAAATTTTAATAGTTATTGTAACCGCATAATAATATATTCGAATACTATATAAAATTTGCCATATAATTAATTATCGTTTAATTCGGTTTATAATCTAGTTGGATTGGTTTATGTTTTATATGTACATCAATTTTAATATTTTGGTTACTATTACATCCAATTTTAATCAATCAAACTAAATCATAAAACAAATTTAACCCAATTGTAATCAGTAAGTGTTAATTAATTAAATCGATAAATGTTAAAAATATAATTAATTAATTAAATCGAAAATATTAAGAATAATCGTTGTGTTAAAACACAACAGTTAAAATATATATAATTAAAATAATGACATGTCAGCCTACGAACAAAGATTTACTTAAATTTTCTGTTGAATTTTCTGTTGCAGATTTTTGAAATATTAAATACAATTAAAAAATAAATAATTATAGAAGTTTTGTTTAGTTGCAAGAAAGATTGTGTTTAGTTGCAAGATTAAAGTATTTAATTTTTTAACTATTTTAAAATTTAAAAAATTTAAAATTCTGAAATAATGACACATAAGCTACTAATGCTTCTTGTTTAATATATGTTAGATTATACTGTTAGATTAAAGAAAAAAGTCCATTAAAGATTACTATTCAGGAATACACTGGAAGTAAAAACTATTTAAATTATTACAAAATATGAAAATTTGAAAGAAACGTAAGAAATCAATTCTCACAATGTAAGAATAACTTAGTTACCCGTTTTTTCCGCTAGTTAAATTACAATCTACCTATATATTAAAGTATAAACATTACAAACTAGTTAAGCACCACACATTTTCTCAGTATTTATTTACTTAACCATTTTTACTACTATTTTTGTAGCCAAATACTTTTTTAATCCAATCACTATTTTAGACAACAACTAATTATTTTCCTATTCAATATCAATAATTAATATATATATATATATTATTTTATATGTGATAGTATATTATATATTTTTAACTGTAATCTAACTATATATTAATGTAGAAATATTTGCTGATATATCAGCATCTGTTTTCCAATATTTACTTATTTAATTAGTTGTTTTTACTACTATCTTTATAATCTTATATTTCTTAACTGGAAATCAAATTTTTTATAAATATAACATGATTAGTAACTATCATTATTGACAAATGTTATAAAATTTTAGTAACATACCTCAATCTATTTAAAGCATACACATAAATTCTATTAAAACATAATAATTTAATCCTGTGAAAATTTGAAAAAAACGTAAGAAATGTATATGTTTTAAATAGATTGAGATATTCTCTATATTTTAATTTTCACGTTTTAAAATTGAACTGAAACGTGCGTTTTAAAGTTGAATTGACTAACATCCGTTTCCATAATTGCCTTAAGAATAAATAAACTTATATTAAAGTTATTTTCTTTACATAAATACAAAGGAGACCCAAAAACTCATTCATAAATAAGTAAGCATACAATCACTCAAAAAAGGATAAAGAAAGCAAAAAAAAAAAACAAAATGGAGAAAGTAACAACCATTTTCGTCGTCCTTTTCCTGATCTCGTCATGTAAGTCCTCCAAAATCGTCTCGTTTTTTCTACTTAGTCAGTTCGCCGTTCGGTTTGACTTGAATTTGGTTATGGTTTACATCTTATACTTGTACACAGGTATGATAATGAGGAGTGAAGGTCAGTTTCGTTGTGAGAAAGCCAGTGACTGTGATCCGCGTGGTTGCAGACTAGATACACATGTAATATGTAATGAAAGGCACAAGTGTACGTGTGCTCATGGCGCTCCTCTTGGCGGTGAATGTGACACAGTCACTGACTGTTATCTTTCTGGGTGTCCACCATTTACATCTGTTCGCTGCATTGGACACGTTTGCGGATGTTATTCCTAATGGTTAGATTAAGGGGTTGTTTCATAAACATTTCATTTTTGTATGAAGTTAACATTAAACCTAAAAAACTTATTATATCTTTTTATAACGTCTGAACTTCATTAAGATATAAAGAGGATAAAAAAAAAAGGAAATCAGTTTCAAGTTTTGATTACATGATCCGCACAACATAAAAAACTTTGTAAGACACAAAATAAACAGTTAAATGTACATAAACTCTTTTCAATATTCATAGAGAATGTGTAAGAACGAAATTAACTATAAAGATATAAATAAATTCTATTACGTAAATATATATAAAGCGATTAACTATAAAAGTTAAAATAATTTAAGATCTAAAAATAGTCACGATCCCTTAACAAATCCAAGACGCATGCATTCTGCATTAGACAAAAAATACCAATTTCAAGAACTCCATCCTCACTTCCTATTGAATTGCTCTTTTTGAACAAGTCAATTGCTTGTTTTGATCATCTTAAAAAAAAAAATCGTTTGTTTAAATTGCTTTTTAAATTAAAAATAGAATTAGCGTTCTCCCTTATATATATAGGAAACAATCATAGAACATTTTCTCCAAAAAAATAATTGTTGTAACAAAACTTTGTTCTCCTTTTCATTTTTCACCAGCTACTACTAACTAATTAAATCTGACATGAGGATCATTCAATTGATGTACATCGCCTTCGTCATACTCTTGATATCATTTCTAGCTCCGATCAAAGCTCAAGATATCGTTGGTTGCCATACTGAGCTTGATAAATGCATCAGCGCAATGAATGAATATCGATGGGGGTTCGTGTGGGAAAACTGTTGTGCAAAACTGAAAAAGAAAGGCCCACAACCATGCATGTGTTTGTTTTTTAAGTACCCTGAGCTTAAAAAACCTGCTATGAGGCTTATCAATTATTGTTCTGCTCCAATTCCCAAGTGTTAACAAATTATATAAAAGAAAATAACAACAATATTTTGATCCTGATTTTGCTACCATGTTGTGTAACACCTAAACATTTCATTTTTAATGAATATTTACAATTTAGCAAAAAAACAATATTTTGATATGGTTTGAATTTTGTATTAGTCATGATGTCGCCATGTTATAATCCGTATATAGTCAAATAAAGATTTTTTATTTTTGTTTTTTCGTAAATCGTATTTCATGACATCCCTATTTGCAGCTTTTTCCTCCATTTGGCATGTGATGGCTCGAACAACGTTTAGACTTCGGTTTGTAAATGAGTTGGGGACACGATCGATATTAGTTTGTTTCCAAAAATCAATCGAAATTCACAGTAAATCCAAATACCACGTGGAGGATTAGATTTAGAAAGGAAGAGATAGCGAAACTCGTATTCGTAAAACCTCACTTCTACCAATTTGTTCAAAGGAGACTCACTTTTCTTGTTCAACACTCGATCACTGTTTCCTTGAGCTGCAAGCAACGTTGTATTGGTGGTAGTTCGCTGCATATCCATTCAACTGATGACGCTTCATCTTATGCGAAATCTTGCAGACGTTTATGCAAGAAGCGTGGAATCACGATCTTTTTCCTCCCCGACATCACATACCTATAAAAGCTTCTAAATACTCTGTTTATGCTTTGATTAGTTCGTTCACCACATCTTCTGCTGTACCATGTATACAAAGATTCTTTGTTAATTACTAAATTTGAAACAATACTAATCAAATCGCATGAAGAAAAAAGAGTGAACTTACTGCAGGCGAGGACCAATCTCCACGACAAAGCACGAATGAGCATTAGATTCGGTCCTACGCATCTGAATTCCGTACCGTTTATGTAATCTTGCTTCGCTTTCAACAGTTGAAACCTTTTTTGATTCGGATGAAAAAAAAGAGTGAATTTTGTTTTCAATGAAAGTACCTGTAAAGATTCTCTAATCTAAGCTTTTAGGTTCATTTACTTTGATTTTCTCTAGGATCATAGTTCATAGCATATGTAACAAATTGTTTGGCAATTGGTTTTTTTGGTACTGAACTAGACATTAATCTGATCTCGAACCAGTCCATCCATACAGCACTGTAGTGAATATTTTAGACCATACCCTGAAAAACCTGAGCACTGACCTAAGAAACTAGCAATGTAAACATTTCTACAACTCAGCGGAAAGAGAAGAAGAAGAAGAAGAAGACTTTTATAAAAGCCGTAAATTAGGTAAGACTACATGACTTGTTTTTGTCTATGTGAAAAGATAAGCTCATGCAAAAGCTCTCACAAATACTCTAACATGTTCTTTGGTGGATTGATCCATAGGCTTTGAGGAGGACAAAGTTCAGACCATTCCTCCGATTTCTTAGGCGGACTGTACCTGTTTTCATCAAACGAGTATGAGACACAACGCTTGCAGTTATTACCAAACCTTGAGAAAAAGACATTGTTCCTCATCCATGGGAGTTCACTTCTCAACTCAGAGTTATGAAAACTGACAAAGATCGTCATGCCATCAAGCTCAGTACCAGTCACCTCTCGCCATCTCAAATAGACAAGTTTGTACACGATCGGCTTCTCGTTTCTTGTAAAAACGAGAAAGAGCTCTCTTTTCATCTCTGCCATGAAAATTGCTCTCGTGCACTCAGTCCACCACCGATAAGGATAGATATATGCAGTAGGATGACGATTCCAACTGCGTGAAGACGGGTGAAAGGAATACAACAATCCTGCTTTTGCGTTAAAGCAATAGAATCGATCATTGAGAGAAAAAAAGAAGAGAAGAGAGAGAAAATAAAATTCATTCGAAAAGTTGTTTCTATGGATCATAAATAGTTTCCCGAAAAGTTGTTTGGCTTGGTTTTTATCACTCATCAGAAAGACACGGTTTCATCTCAATTAAAGAAGAAAAGAGACTTTTCTAGAAGCCTAAAACCTGTTCTGGTAAACAAAATAAAAACAGTTGAGATTACATTACTTGTTTTTGTCTATTTGAGAAGAGATAAAAGCTCAAGCAAAAGCTCTCACAAATACTCTAATACGTTACTTGGCGGATCGATCCATAGGGTTTGACGAGTACAAAGTTCTAACCAGTTGCGCCATTCCTTAGGCCGATTGTACCAGCTGTTTTCATCAAACGAGTAGGATAAACGCTTGCGATTGTAACCAAACCTTGAGAAAAAGACATTGTTCCTCATCCATGGGAGGTCACTTCTCAGCTCAGAGTTATGAAAGCTGGCAAAGAATGTCAAGCCATCAAGCTCAGTACTAGTCATCTCTTTCCATGCCAAATAGACTAGTTTATAGAACTTTGGCTTCTCGTTTCCACGTGAATACATGAGAAAGAGCTTCCCTTTCCTCTCTGCCAAGAAAGCTGCAGTCTCGTACTGATTCCGTCGTCGCTGATGAAGCTTCCATTTGCGGGAAGATAGGCGAAAGGAATACAACCATCCTCCTCTTGCGCTTAAGCAATAAAATCGATCATTGAGATAGAGAAGCTTGCAATTCGTATATGTAAAAGGTCGATAATCAGTAGGGAAGTCATCCCTAATCCAGTCAGTTCCTCCAGGATGGCAAGTGCTGATAGTGACAAGATTAATCACATAAAAGTTTAACGCTAACACAACACAATCATCCGACGTAGGAGGACAAGAGAATGCAATGTCCTGAAAAGACAGATCGAGCTTAGGCAAGCTTAAGAGCTCCCGAGAAAACGGGTTGAAGAAGAAGATTTCGCTTGAGCTGGATCTGTGCATAAGTAACCATCCGTCTCTTGAGTAACACACAGTCGATTTAGCTAGCTCGGGAAGATCAATAGTATACGATTTCCATGGCAATGGATCGCAGAGTTTGAACTGGTGGCCACGTTTTGGAATATACAAAAGCCAAGGATGTTTTTCCACTACCCGGACAGAAACCGCAGCTTCACGCCATGACTTGCAAGCAGCAGACGCACGGATGTTGTCTTTTAACACAAGTTGAGACATTATTACTTCCACGAGGCATAGTGGAAGATCAGCGAAACTCGGAATCAGTGCCTTTCTCCTTTGAGTTTTGGGTCTAATAAACAAAAAAAAATAAGAATGAACTTTAAATTAGGCAAAAGCTTGTGACTTACAAATTCGTCTCAACGTGAAAGTAATACATTATTGAGAGACGCTTTAAGAACTTCCCCACGAGAAGAAAATTTTAGCAAAATTGTCAAATCTGGTTTAGAGTAACAAATTAACCTTCTATGTGGGACCGTGGGTAGAGTCGGCGAAGATGACGCCATGGCCGGAGACGGCGGTGTTCGTTGACGAGTCAACGGTGGTCGCATATAGTCTCTAGGGAAAACCTAATAAGATTAGGGTTTGTTAGGTTTCCTATCTTTCTAGTATATGCCCTAAAGTAAGATTAAATCTAATCATCATCATCATCATATAATATATAAAAGTTGATGGCATAGTGCATTGAAGACGTCCACATGTGATTAAAAAAGTCAATCTGATTGGTCCACATCAGCTAATTCATTAAATAAAAAAATATTAAGTATGTTTATGACAGAAAAACTTGATTTAATTGGTCCACATCAGCTTTTTAATCAAACCAAATATTATTAAGTATAATTAAAATATTAAAAGTTAATTTAACAAATTATGTCCAACAAAAAAAGTAAATTCAATCTCATTGATCCAAATCAACATATTTATTAAATCAGAAAATGTTAATATGGTTTAAAAAATTAAAAGTTAAATAAAAAATTAACAATTAACAATAGATGTATAAAAAAGTAACCATTATCAATTATTAGTTTTTAAAAATCTACAAAAACTTGATTTAATAATTAAAACAATGAAAAATGAATAAAAATATAACATTAAACTCTTAGAAGACATGGTGGAGAAGGAATAACCATTATCAATTATTAGTTTTTAAAAATCTACAAAAATTTGATTTAATAATTAAAACAATGAAAAATGAATAAAAATATAACATTTAACTCTTGGAAGACATGGTGGAGAAGGAAAAAAAGGTTTTGCATGATCATTACAGCTTTCTAACAAAATTAAATGTGAATCAACATGAATCATGCATTATATATGCAGTGGTACACAACATCAATAAGACTTGAATAAAAACTAAATATTTGAACACCTTTAAGAAAAAAAAAGAACTATAGAAATTTCATGAAAAACAGTAAATGATACTAAAATTTTAGCAAAAAAATATTTCTCTAAATCAAATGTATATATATGTCAAAGTTGATAATTCGATAGGTGTCATTGTTATTATTTTACCTAATAATTTTTAAAAATTTATAAATAAAAATAGGATAAATGACACATTATATATTAAATTCTTTTATATAAATGAAAATTTCTATAAATATATTATATTTTTAATAATTTAAAAGATAGTATAATAAAAAAATATTAAACCAAAATTAATATCTAGTATATAATATAAAAGTTGATGGCATAGTGCATTGAGGGCGTCCACATGTGATCAAAAAACTTGATCTGATTAGTCCACATCAGCATATTAATTAAATAAAAAAATATTAAGTATGATTCTCACGGAAAAACTTGATTTAATTGGTCCACATAAGTATAATTAAAACATTAAAAATTAATTTAACAAATTATGTCCAACAAAAACAGTAAATTCAATCTAATTGATCCAAATCAACATATTTATTAAATCAGCAAATGTTAATATAGTTATAAATATTAATAGTTAAATAAAAAAATCAACAATTAATAATTCATGTATAAAAAAAGTAACCATTATCATTTATCAATTAAAAAACTCGATCTGATTGGTCCACATCAACATATTCATTAAATAAAAAATATTAAATATGATTAGGACAGAAAAACTTGATTTAATTGGTCCACATCAGCTTTTTCTCAAACCAAAAATTGTTAAGCATAATTAAAACATGAAAAGTTAATTTAACAAATTATGTCCAACAAATAAAAGTAAATTCAATCTGATTGATCCAAATCAATATATTTATTAAATCAGAAAATGTTAATATGGTTTAAAAATTTAAAAGTTAAATAAAAAATTAACAATACATGTATATAAAAAAAATTCCTAATTTCTATAATAGTGGTATCGATAATGAATAACTATCTAAATTGCAATCGGTTTACATGAGTTTCTAAATCAAATATATTTTTTAAATATACAAAGATTAAAACATTGTGTTTCTGATTTAAAAATAACAAAGAAAGACACTACATAAGTAATTTTACGCTTAAAATTTAACAAGTAATAAAATATGTTTTCTATACATAGATACTACTTATATCTGAATTTATATTAATAACACATGAGTAACATATTCTAAAATTTTATTTAAATAATAAAGTATGACAGATTTATGAATCAAACACAAATTAGTATATGGAACTAACATATTCAAATGAAACATGCAGAAAGCACACAAATAAACATAGTGAAAAATAATGTGAAGACTCCACACCATCAATCCTACAAGTTTCAAAATTAAATTTGTCAAATATTAGACTGCAAAAAAATGAATATTTAAATAATAAACTGAATAAAAATATAAGTTAAAATTCGTGATAGACCTGAAGTAGAAGCAAGAAACAGCTTTGCATTATCATTGCAACTTCCTAACAAAACTAAATGCGAATCAGTATAAATCAAGAATTATACATGTATAGATACACAACATCAATGAGACATTCAATTAAAAAACTAAATATTTGAATATGTAAACCTTAAAAAAAACTCTAGAAATCATATGGAAAAAAAAAAAAACATCAAGATCTTAGCAAGAAAATATTTCTCTTAATTAAGATATATGTGTACATCAAAGTTAGATAATTCGATAGGTGTCATTGTTATTATTTTACTTAATAAGATTTAAAATTTTAAAAATAAAAATAGGAGAAAACTGTAAATTATATTTTAATTTCTATTATATAAAATAAATTTCTATAAATCTATTACAGTTTTGATCATTTAAAATATAGTAGCAAAAAAAAGTTAAACAAAACTATTAATACAGACTCGTGCGTAGCGCGAGTAATAAACCTAGTCTATAATATATAAAAGTTGATGGTATAGTGCATTAAGGACGTCCACATAGGACGAAGAAACTTAATCTGGTTGGTCCACATCAGCTTTTTCATTAAATAAAAAATGTTAAGTATGATTAAAACCTTAAATTCGTTTTAAAAAATGAAAAAATTAAATAAAAGTTAAGTAAAAAATAGAAAAGAAAATTATGTTAAAAACCAGAAAATAGTATCCTTAAAAAAATAAGAATTTGTTTTCAAAAGGATTAAAATAACAAAAAAAACAATACCATAAAAGCCTAAACTTATATATAGATTAGGATAATTCTAAATTATAAATTAATTGTCAATAAAATAAAAACATTGATTTCGTTTTATAGTTGGAAAAATCAAAAAAAACAATTATGTTAAAAAAATCAAAATATAGCATCCGTCAAAATTTAAAACATTAATTTCGTTTTATAAATGGATAAATTGAAATAAAAGGCTTAAAGAACAAATAGAAAAATTTGAACAAATAGTATCTTTAAAAATAAAATGAAAATTTGGTTTCAAAAGAGATAAACTAACAAACAAAAACAAATATCATAAAAGCTCAAACTTATATTATAGATTAGGAAAATTCTAACTTCTAAATTAATTGACAAAAAAAATATTAATTTTTTTATAGATAGTTAAATAAATAAAAAAGCTTAAGTAACAAATAGAAAAGAAAATCATATTAAGAAAACTAAAATATAGTATCCCTTAAAATTAAATAGAAATTTAATGTAAAATAGTCAAATTAACCAAAAAAACAATATCGTAAAAGTTAAAATTAATAGCATATATTAGAAAAATATATAACTTATAATGCATTGCATATATACAAATATATAATAGTAACATCATATACTGTCTAGATGCTATTAGAAACTGATCATCATCAACGACGAGAACTTTCTGTATCCAATTAAGCTTATGATATCGATAATGGTGGAAGTCATAATAAAATTAATAAAAAAAAATTTAACAAAGAAAAAATATTTATATAAAAGAAATTAATGTGATGTCTATGATACTTTTTTGGAAAATCAACAACGAATGAGCTTAATAAAAAGTATATAAGTCCTAAATATATCAAACATACAAAAAGTATATAAATTAAAGTAAATAAAAAATTACTCTCAAAAGATGTAAATTATCAAAAAATAATTAAAACAAAATTAATTTGAAATTAGTTTCAAAAAGTTCGTGATTTCTAAAGTTCATGAGTTTCTAAACTAAACATATGTTTTTGATTTAAATACTAACAAAAAAACTCTATATAAATAACTTTACACTCGATATATAACAAGTACTAAAATCTGATTTCTATACATAGCCACTACTTATATCTGAACCAACATCAATAAAACACTCTAAATTTTATTTAAATAATAAAGTATGACATAGTTATGAATCAAACTCAAATTGGTATATGTAGATAAAATATTTAAATGAAAGCATGTATATTGCACACACAAAAAACCGTGAAAAATAATGCGAAACTCCACACCACCGATCCTACAAGTTATAAAACTAAAATTATCAAATATTAGACTGTAAAAATAGATATCAATGAAAACTGAATAAAAATATAAGCTAAAACTCTTAGAAGACATGGTGGAGAAGGAAGAAATGGTTTTGCATGATCATTGCAGCTTCCTAACAAAATTAAATACGAATCAACATAAATCATGGATTATATATGCAGTGGTACACAACATCAATAATATTTTCAATAAAAAAATAAATATTTGAATACATAAACCTTTAAGAGAAAAGAACTATAGAAATTCTATGAAAAACATAAAAAATAACAAAATCTTAGAAAGGAAATCTTTCTCTAAATCAAATGTATATGTACGTCAAAGTTGGATAATTCGATAGGTTTCACTGTTATTATTTTACCTAATAATTTTTATAATTTTATAAATATAAATAGGAGAAAACTAAAAGTTATTTATTCAATTATCTTATATTCATAAAAAATTCTATAGATATATTATAGTTTTAATAATTTAAAAATAATAGCTAAAAAAGAATTAAATCATACTATTAATACAGACTCGTGTGTAGCGCGAGTTATGTACCTAGTTCAGTATAAAAATATCATAGGTTCTTATTAAAAAAACGATATATGAGTGGCTTTTTCGTAAAAAAAAAAAAACTATAAGTAGCCAAATAAACAAAAAAGTAAACTTAATTCAGATTGAAC